TGAGGTCAGTTTAGTCTTGTTTCTTGGGGGGTGGTGATGAGGTCAGTTTAGTCTTGTTTCTTGGGGGGTGGTGATGAGATGATTTTTTGTCTCTGTGCCAACATATGGAAGTACAACTGGGGGAAAACTATAGAAAAAATAAAACCTTGTGAAATGCAAAACTAGAGAAAATAATAAAACGGAAAAAAGGGAAGACTTATAATTAAATAAGCAAATGAGATACTGGATATGCAGATAAGAGGATCAAATTCAGAGAGCAATATTATCACTTACTTGGTATGTAGGAGAACATCACAAGCACAAGGAACACGTAGTAACTGAAGCCAAAGTTGACCATATTTGGCAATGGATAAGAATAGATATTAGATGCTTTGACAAAGGGTAGTGAAGTGTATATCGTAAATAACTCCCCCTAGAATGAAATACATATATTAAACAGAAAAGCAACAGCTGGTCCAGCAAAGAATGATACTTACAGTTACACCGATAGGATACAGGAATATGAAGAATGTATACCTACAAACAACAAAACAATCATAATAAATATCTCTAAAATGCTGCAACAGAAATCAAGAAATCTAACCTGCACCACTGCAGAGCATAAGGCAACACACTGACCAACGAACACACATAGAATGAATATCGAATGACTTCAGTCAGTGACCAGGCAAAGATGAATGCTGCCACACCAAGACAGTCCTGTACCTGGATATTTTCAAAAAAAAATACTTTTAATAAACCTAAAGAAGACTTTGATCGATTTACAACAAAAAAAAACTCATTACAAAACAGTGTGTTGAGATAAAGGGTTTAAGAATAGAATACATTAAAATAAAAACACTCATGCTGAACAGTTTCTTTTGTATTATAATGTATGTCTTGACCAATGTGTTTGCAATTAGGTATATATACCTTAAAGAACTTATTRGATCAGATTCATGCTTAATAAACTAGATTTTGGGATACCTGTGGTATGCTGTACACAACTGCCCATGTTAGAAAAAGACGGGAAGCAACCTGGAAACCAGTCAAGAAAACAGAAGAACGGACATAACCTAGAAGAGTAATAAGTTATTTTAATCATGCATGATCTATGTTGACAGGCATTTTCTTTACATTATTGCAAGAATAAGAGAGTTCCCACCGTAGATGTATCAGCCTTCTCTATGACAGCCCCCCCCCCTCTTCCCTCTACTACATAAAACAACTTACCAACTGCACAATGCACAACCTGAAAGAGGAGAAAATGTTATTATCATTTATAGTAAGACACTAGACATAGATAGACTGTAACATCTGTAGTTACACTGACCTCCAAGATGGCTGCAGTCTGGAAGATCAGTAATGGTATTCTGACAGCAGAGTACAGACCTTTGTAACAATGTTGACGTACAAAATGTGAAATGCCAACAAAAAGGATCAACGACCACCTAGACAACAAAGATTAAGTTTATATACAACATGACTGCATGAATACTATCATCTCAGGTATCCAATTAACTGAAAAGTAGGTGAAAGAACTTACTGACATTTTGGATGTTAACGTCTGAAACTAAAAATAGATAACCTGRCTATTCACTATTTATTTTCACARTGTCATCTCAATAATATTTTGTTTTCAGCCRTCCATGCAATAGAATATCCCAAATGTTTGATAATATTTAACCATTCCAATTTTTATATTGAAAAGAGCTACCTAAATATCATTATACCAATATCAAGATATTTTAACAAGAGCTATGTGTAATTTTAGATCATTTTAGAAGGAAATAACATGAATTAGTATAAACATACTAATGGTCTATCACTCATACTGCGCTGTGATTGGCTACTCTACTAATGGTCTAATTTGTGATAGACCACTCGCGGGAAAATCAAAATGGCAGCATCTCATTAATAAATTATTTTAAGGATATTTCAATTTGTTTTCATTATTTGACCGATTAGTATGTTTATACTAAAACAATTAGACTTTAGCATGTGACTTCTGTGACAAGTTCTATAAACAGACTTTGTACCCAGGGGTAAATCAATGAGCAACAAAAGATTTTATACACCTCCCAAGGATGCTATGAATCCTTCAAAATCACCGTCCAATGAAATAACTCGTTTAAAATGGGGTATTAAAATGCCATTTAATATTAAAGGACCAAACAGCTATTATGATACTAATAAAGTTGTGTTCATAAAATAACAAACACAATCATGRGAAGCTGAGGTCTTACTTATAAAATGTTACGAAGTAAGTCATGATATAATTCCATGTACAGTGTGTTTTCGCGGTACAAAATAGAGCAACACACATTTTATAACGAAGATCAAAAATCAAGCTCTTCTTGCATGCTGAAGGATAAATTAACCAGTATGATTTTAAAACTGTATAGATTTTCTTAAAAATTCATCAGTATCACTGTTCTTACCCTATGGCTTGTATAGCATTGTAAAGTACCAAATACAAGGTAACTGTTTGAGGTAATCGACGAACCTTCTTYTCAGTTCCTGCCGCCATTTTGTCTTAATAACACAGGAAGCCCAAATTACACAGGGCTCCCAACCTGCCGGTTGTCCACTTGTTTATTTGTGCGTGAGCACGCAGGAAACGAAATATCAGATCAATGACCATAAAAGGAGCAAATAAAAAGAGAGCGCAACCACAACAAGCAAAACGATTTCTACTRGTCAGAAACGCAATACGTTCACTCACAGGGCAATAGGATAAAAAGGCGTGTCCGACTGGATCTAGATTGAATGAAAGTTACAAGCAGCATTTTTTGCAAAGTTGCGTATGGCGAAATTAACAATAAGAGCTTATACAATAACCACATCTACAAGGTATCATTATTGTCTGGTTTATTAACTACAAGAAATGCTTTCCTATCTACCTGCTCTTTCAGTATTCACATCGCAAACAGGAAAACRTGTTTTACTATAATAACTCAGCTATAAAACAAGCACAGGAACGGKTTAAACCTCAACTCTATATTACGATCATTTCATTCTATCTGTTTGCGTCCAATTTGTCTTGCTGCAAGTACTCGAATGTATTCACTTGCTCAACACCGCACAACGCAGAATGTCGCTTTCTTGTTATATCGAACGMGAGGGATTTMMGTGTCGGTAATACCAGGTTGTCCAGTTCATTCATCGTGCATATTACAGGTTGTACTTAATTGTTCGTAGTATAAAGATGAGGTTTTTTCTGGTCTAAGGAATACATTATTTGTGTCCTTCAATATCGGATTGCAATGAAAGGCAGCAGTGGCGGATACAGGATTTTAGTTRAAAACGGAGSTCCATTTYGGTTTCACAAGTTTTTTCCTCGCAAGGAACTCAGACAATGGCAGTCCRTGACGACTCTGATTCAGAAACATGAAATCTATAACAATTCATTTATTTGATGCTCGAGGGGAGCTCCTCCCTTGGAATTTATGAAACCCACTCTGGATCCACCACTGAGAGTTACAAACTAAAAGTCCTTCTTGGACGATATTGCATTGAGTACAATGTCCATATAAAATAATAACAACACCAAAGGTCCTATATGCTTTCCTAAATAAATACTCTTGTAAAAATGTGTCCATTTGTACACGTTCTACAAATATTCTCAATTGGGATTCCTGCGCAACGCAGGATATCCGAAGTCTAATTGCAATTCTAATTCGTTAAAAATATTTTAGACACAAAACATCAAATAAAAACRCCATTAAAAACAATTCATTACACGTATGGGTATCTACACATACTATTATTTACTACAGTGACCTATTCAGGGTAGGGTTCACACTGTATGTTTCACAGTTTAACTACCTTACATTATTTCAGTCTGGTGCTAATTTTACCTTAATACTATTACCATAGTARCATTATTAGAGTGCTCGTTTTAAACACGTTTTAAAATATACATATATAGTCACGCAGTCACTGATATCAKACTTCTAGGAAGTCTTGTGACCCACACGTGATTGACAAGCGTTACTCAAGAAAATAGTTTTTTGTACATATTTTTTCGTGTAAAATGTTCATTTTTGTCACGTGGCGTGTGACGTAGTTTGACTACCATGATGATGATGACTATACAACAGGTCCAGCATGCCTAGCGAGCATAAGGATGAAATAAATGTCTGGAATACGCCGAACTGATTGGTCCTACACTACTCGTGCGCACCAGTTCTGTTGGGACTGTGGAACATTGACAACAATAATAAATCATTTGTACAAAACACATCTCAAACTAGTTTATACATCTAATCCCCCTACTAGAGGGCATATCAATACCTGTGTGGCGAGTAGCAGATCATGCTGTACAAAGTCTGATGTACAACAGCCGTACCACGACTGATTTGTGATACAAAGCTGATCAGTGTTATAAAGTCGTGATTTCACCGATCCCATTCAAAACCAAAATTGCTATTTGAGTATGAATTCGCTGAAATAACTGGAAGTACTCATTTTGYGGGATTTTTATAATCGATTTTATCTATTGCCATAGATACATAGACATAGAAGAGCTAATGCTTTATAATAAAGTCTGATTATACAAAATATGAAGGTGCGCAAACCAAATGAAATTTAACCACTCATTAATGTGTTGTAAAGCTACTGTTAGTGCAGAAACACACGGCCCAAATCTAGAATAGAATGAATATATTTACATAAACCCTGTTATCAGTATTAAATTATCATTAGTATTATTGTTACAGTGATTGTAGTAGTTACCAGCTATATTTATTACATATATATATCGTATCGATAGTATTACCTTATAGTGGATTTACTAGTCATAATGATAGTTGTACTTTAACATGCTTATATCTTACATTAGGTGATTTATAGTGCAGTTATGACTCACTCCATAACCACTACCTCAGTAACGGTTATAGAATTGTCTTTGATTTAAAAGAAGCTAGCAATACCATGCTAAAAGAGTACACGAGCCACACATATGCAATGAAAACTAGTGCTTCTCAAAAATGCAAGGGCAAGCCGAGTGTCAGGGGGGGTTTTCTTACCTGACTCGAATCAAAGGGCTCATCGCTAGACTTTGTGGTACACTATATGCTAGGGGCCTTGTATCCTCTGAGCCCGCGATACCATTTCCCCGGTGTGGGAAAGATCCAATGGTATCACTTGTATCTATCACGTGACAAATAGTTTAAGGTCATGAGGGTGAAGAGATAAAGATGAGGTTAACACTATGTACAAAGAATCGGGGAGAAAAAGGTCCATTCATGTTCTATAAACCCTGGAATCATGAGCACTRAAGAAAGGCTTAGCAGACAAAAAGAGGAATAACAACGAGCTGTTTCACCCTACACGCTCACTTAAATACTAATAATGGTGTACATTCCGTTCTGTCTTTGCGTAAGTTAAGTTAAAAGAAAAAAAAAACACTTCATCCAATCAGTGAACAGAACAACACCCACAGGTAGAGGACGGTAGGGTGAAACGCTATAGAACGAAAACACAGCCTTGTAATAAAATACGACTTTTTATTGCACTACAAGTTTCTATTAAATACATTGCACCTTTGTGTCTGGAAAACTACCACTTGGAATATCGACCGTAATTTTAGCCAATGGCTTCACCATGCTCTTCTCCGACACCGAGGAAGAGGTGCACAAGACGCATGCGCATCTACCTATCAACACCTGTGAGTCTTATTATGGTCAGCGGACTATAGTTTTATTCTAGACAGAGCAGATAAACCTGATTGACTGGATGCAAAAACTTGTATCCCATTTAGTTTCAAATGGAAAAAACCTAGTTTACAATGTACACGTTGAAAAAAAAAACTAAAATTGGACAAAAACTTCAGTGACCAAAGTAAAATGCAAWKAGTGAATAAAAAGAGCATTCCCTACCTTCAAGCTCTTGCAGCCAGTCAAACAAGCAATCCAATTCAAAGTCGCATTATGATAGCTATGCACCATGCAAGATTTATAACCACTCCTTATGGTAAACCGTCAGTGATTATTTGACAATTGATTTATTCAAGGAGTGTTTATAATGCCAATGTGCTTTACACGCTAAATATCTTTAACATTAATGCTGTTGATGGTGAATACCATGGCTTACTTGATGTAAAGAAATACGGTGRTATATTTCACCAATCAACAAGCGTGCGTAAATTAAAACAGATTATACTACCGTAATGATTACACTAAACAGCAATTATGATAAATCAAATGACTGTACTGATAATTGACAGCTGTCATTTGATGACATCATTTACTACATAACTTAATTGGTTAAATGATTGGTACATGAGCAACAAGGAACTCCTTCAAACCTTAACATACGACGTTAAATTATCAAGTTATTTTAGAAGCATAGAGATTCTTAGATGTTTAATCTGGTACCGACATTCAGTGACGTCACTGGCCATAGTTCTTGACGAGTGGAGTCTGGACACAATCATGATTTTAATTGCCATAGTAGCTGTTGCTACCACAATACTATATACTTGCTTGGCAAGAATTTTGATAATTTTGGTTGTTTGCGTACAACGCCGTAAATAATCTGTCTTCATGTACAATACGTCAATCTTTCGGTATCAATAGCGAGTATTGTCACTACCATTGTGTAGTGTGATAAATAAACTACTGTACAACTTTGATACCGGCAGATCTTCCATTCATTCATACTTAGCAAAAGCTTTTGAATAGATTGAAAAACGTGGAAATCCTGCCGACTACCATGAAATGTTATTATGTCCTTGCATTTTGAAATCACTTTTTTCATGATAGCCGTAAGGGGTTAATTTGTATATAGGAAAATAAGACTATTTGAAAATGCTTTTTAAAAACTTGAATCTAAAAATATTTCGATCTATTCTGGCTTTGTTGTCTCTAATGTTCTCAGTTGCAACATTGTCATTAGTTAATTACCGTCATCACCTTAACGTTACTCAGTCGTTATGTTTACTGCGAGAATACATTACATGACGGGCTTTCTTTAACAGTAGCTTTACCACACCCAAAAGACCGACTTTACGTTATTAGTTTCTTACCTTAAGCGCACTGATCGTTTTAAACGGTTTAACAGTTATACATTAGTGGATAATTTAAGTCAAGAGGTAATTCAGCAGCAAGACATGCAAACATACTTTAGGCTCAAAGGGGATGGTGGGAAACAACATGTTTCTATTAGTAATTTCAAAAGCAACGAAGATAAAATAAAATAGATAAAAAAACTCTCAGAGGTAAATACTTGAAATATTTGAAAATAAATAGTAAAAATTGACTTCCATGCAGCRTTATTGCAGTGCAGACACTAAATTGTACAACACTGATTACTTTCTGATAACTATCAGTGCTAAAGAAATGAGAGAATCAGTCGACATGTTAGTGTTTGCACTGTAAAGGCACAGTCAGCCTTTTGAGTCATTATACCATTTGCTGGGAAAGTTAAAAAACGTATTCAGAAAAAAAAAGATCTAAAATAATCTAAAAAAGGTTGACTGTGCATACAATAAAGGTATCAACTAATGCATGCAAGAAAATAGATACGATTAATGTTTGTGATCTTCAAGTGGTTTTTGGTTTGTGTGTTTTAAGCTGAATGAGCCTGAAATAGACAATGGATGTGGTAAGAATGCATTCAGGGCCATGCTGCTCAAAAACAAAACACAATACTAAAAAGGAACACTTGATCACACTATGCTATCTCTAAAAGAATACTTAATCATTTGATTACTTCTAAGGTGTAGCTAAAAGCTCCTTCGTACCTGCATAACGCACATCACTGCTTCTTGATGACACTGGGTAAGTACCAAAAGCCTCATATGCGGCAGCAGTAGCAGCAGCAGTAGGATAGCCAGGAGGAATTCCTGTRCTGTATCCTGGATATCCTCCTAAACCAATGGGGTAGATGGCAGGGTCAAATGCTGCAGTACCAGCACCGACACCAGTGCTGTAAATATATGGGTATCCACTACTAGCTATACCCAGACCAGGTCGAATAGCACCTAAAAAATCACAACAACAACTAATCACACAATGTAACAAAGAGCTGATAAATCTCCCATAAAAGATTGTCTAAGGCACTGTAATATGCTATTATACTATTAAAAGACCACTCAAGCATTGTGTGCATTTATGTGATTCTACCTTATCAACCATTATTAGATTAACAGTCTAAATTGTTAAAGTTACATATTACTTGGGTTACCTGTGTCATGAGGTAACCCAACTCATGCAAAGTCTATGAATTAGAAACTCACCCCTCCCTAGAGTAGTGGGCCTTAACCTTCCCGTCACCACACCAGCAAAGGGAGCTGTGAATGATAAGCCATAGCTCTACTAGTAATGCCCTTATTATATTAGTTCAATTAGTTGTACATGATTATCCCTTGCTTGAAAAATAGGCAACAGTGCTTGTACAATGTCTGTAAAACAGTTCTAGTGGCCAAACGCTAGTAGCATGTTACATTAGTTGTATTATTGATATTCCATGGACACCAATAAACTGTGTTATTATTGCTGCTTACATTAATGAAATGATGCAAAAATGAACATGTTAAATTCACGTCACTAGCCTTCCTAAATAAAACAACTTCATTACATTGAAGATTGTCCTTTTTATAACCTAAAGCATACCTAGGGTTGGAATAAGTCCACGTCCAGTAGCTTTCAAAATTGCCTGCTGCTGCTGGAGTTCTTTTGGGAGAGCTCGCTTTACTTCAACCTTTGATGGGAATTAATGCAGCATTTAGTACTGATCTAGTTATCAATGGCTCAATCATGGTTACCTTATTCCCATTTACATTGTGAAACTGGGTCTCGCATATYGTGTCAACAGTGTCTTCAGACTCAAATGACACAAAACAAAACCCTACAAAAACAAAACAAACAAATAAGACAAGAACCATCAATGATATTACTTCTCTATATCGTATGTCTTACTAGATTTCATTACCTCTTCTCTTGTTACTTGTATGTTCTGTTATGTATTCTATTTCTTTCACCTACAGACAAAAGGGATCATAAAYCATAAACAAAAAAATCAAGGAAATATATATTCTGTATGTAAATACAATGCCCAAAACAAAAGAATCCATCTAATCAAGCTCAACTATTGCAAACCAAGTGGTAAATAAAAAGGCATCTGCGACCCTGTATTGATAGTCTTGATGTATATCAGTAAGATCAAAGATTGCCTGAAAGTGCTTTAAAGGAGTTTTTAGATTAAAAGATTGTGTAGATATTGTCAGAGGATTGGTGTCTACACTGAGACTTTTTACAATCATATAATTGTTTTATACTTCTTGGCATGAATGGTATATATTGATCACATTTACAGTGATTGTACATGGCTAACAAAGCTTCAAATATAGAAATAATCAGTAACAATAAAACAAGCTTTTAGWTGTTATGTGCAAAGAACAATGGATTTCAATTCCTTCATGACTTACAGGTGCATATTTTCCAAAGTATTCTCGTATGTGGTCATCTGATGTCTCAGCTTTTAACCCACCAACAAAGATCTTCTTAACTCTCAAGTGAGGAGGCTAAAAAGAAAACCATCATATCTAAAAGCTATTTTGACTACTGACCTAAATGACAAGCTGTTAACATCAAAGATAATACAAATGTATGGAATAGTTGTTTCTTATCTTTAAAAACTGATATGCTGATTTATAGTACATGAAAGACAATACTAGAACTGACAGAGAGACATTATCTACTCCAATAGAAATCAGAAAACCACTAGAGGGGAATCTATTGGTTGAGGCATTAAGTACTGTGACTATAGTTTACAGATAAATGAAAAAAAAAACAGTTTTATTCATGGCCATACAAGGTGCAATGTAACATTTTACTTCGAAAAGGATTCAAACTATTGCCAATAAAAAGCAATGAAAAATAATCACAATYTATAGAAATGTTGTTCTGCATCATAATTATCACTTAAAATATTTTACAATCAGTTTGTTATGAACACAATAAACCAATGATCATCTATAGTAGCACAACTCCTTAATAAATCTTGTAACCCTTAAAACCTTTGCTTATGAACAAGCTACTTCCAAAAGTCATACAATTGCCCTTTGTGCAATGGAATTCATATACAAGGTTACATTTTTGACAAACACAAACCAGGCACGCATTGTACATTTTGTTAAGTATGGCTTTAAATAGAAAGAATGCTTGAGATTGTATCATGTCACTGTGATATGAGCACAAAACATCTTGCCAACTGTCATGTGATCTCAACAAATTCAAGCAAGTATTAAATGTAAATATTGAGCTATTTATTCACTTTTCTTTTCTTTCCAGACATTTGAMTCAAGCACTAAATAATAATGTGAGATGTTCAATACCAATATATAAGATATTGTTATACTATAAAGCAAAAAGTACATGTATATATCTGACGAAGATATAAATATTGACTTTCTTAAACCTTATATGAATTTCAAAATTTAATTTACATAACAATKTATTGACTCCCACAGAGTAATCTAGAACACTCCAGGGTTCCCTAGCTTASGACAATGTATGGCTGACGACTAAAAATATATAAACTAATATTTAGAAAGGCTTTTTCAAACATTTTAGATAAAAGACTCTTTTTGTCACTTTCTCACATTCATCTTTCACTGAGACAAAAAGACAGCAGTCAATAACAATATCAAATTAATGGCTGTATTTTTTAGAATTTTGTCTGTCATCATGCTTCACTGCCCACATAGGTTTCTTGGATAATGTGTTGCCCAGCATTCTATTTGTCTCTATCTTATCATCATGTCATTTACATATAGAACTCTAATAATTTTAAAATCATCATTTAATATTGTAAGTCAAGACCACCATGAAACCCTATTAGTTCAATGGTAATTACTTAATGTTATGAAAATATAAAGCCATGTTTTGGAAAAAGACAGCAAAACACTCAAATAATACCTACTCAATACTTTCCTTCATAATCTTGCTCAAAAATTCAAAAATAAATCTATTCTTTTATTCAATTGTTATTTGACTACTACTACTACTACTCTTCTTATACATGTTTCCCATTTACCATAAATATTCATATTTTTAATCTAGATTTGAATGTATACTGTTCAAAATACAATCCAAATATTGCTTTATATAAGATAATTAATTGATGTTATCTTTGTAATATTATATTTTCCAGAGTTCTGTTCTCTGCCTTATTTTGATTGAATTGCCCTCCCATATCCATTATGTCTCATTAATGTCCTTTTCCTGTTCTAATAGATGTGTGTTCCCTGAAGGCAAATAAAATACCACACAGCTGGATATATGAATTAACATTTACATAACATACGAATGTCATGTATAAATCACACAAACCTAATAAACTTTGTTAAAGAAAAATTATTGAGACATATAATTATTAAACAAAGCTGATTATGACTCACCTTTCCAATAGGTGCTGCATACTTTGGATCAATCTACACAATGATATAAAACAAACTCTTCAGTTTTAAATTATTATGAAAATGCATGTGAAAGTAAAATAATCACAACAAGATATAATGTAGATTTTAATGGTTAACAGAAAAAAATCAATGCTCCCATCAGGAGGTGAAACTGAATAGTCTGCTAATAGTTCATAATCTGTTTAGAATGGGAATGGGGTCAAAAACCTCAAACACACTATACAATTACATTGGGSACACAGATCTCTACAGCTTGATCACTTACTGTTCTGCCATCTAGAATGTGTGGACCTCCATTTACAACCTTAAAATAAWAAAAGAAATCATTTCTAAGTCAAATGGAGGTTTTATGAAGACTTAATTTGTCATTACTGTTTGGTTAATAGTTGARTAGCCAAGCCACAAATAACAATAATAACTCACTTTTCATCATTTGCAACTTCCTTAGCTTAATGCTTTTATTGCAAGAACTACATGTAAAAACTAAAATTTTATTCACTACTTGTGCTCCCTCAAAATGTTATCAAGATTTAGAAAGGCATAATTCAAATTACAGATGATTATAAATKATTTTGTGTATTTTTCACATTCTGCTAATTACCAAATGAAATAGTATATTTAAAACAAATCCATYCTCACCAAATGATAATTTAATTTGCAGGTGGTCAATTTAACCAGTTTGTCTAAACATCTTTAGAAAAAAACAATTATCTAAGCTATCCTGCCTCTGTAATTCAATGAACCAAACCAAAAATGTCCTGGATTTTGCAAATTTTATAACCATGAAATTTTATTYAATACGTTTGACAAAGGCTAGCAATAGTTTTCTTTTTTTAGTTGCTCTGAATCTCTGTGAACAGAGCTGGTGCTTTTGTCAATATGTGTCTGCTTACAGTGAATTTTTAAACAAATATGCTTTTCAACTGTGTGACTTTTAAAATGAAAAACAAATTACAACTTCACTGTAGAGTTTCTGTGAGATTTCAGACAGGTCCTTGGTATATAGTGGTTGTTTGTATAAAGTTATATTCAAAGACAAAATATCTGCCAACCAGCAAACAATAGTCTCATTATTTATTCCAACTAACAAAAACTCCATATTCTCTAAATATTAATGACTTCTACTAATTGAAGGGAAAAAAGGTTATTTTGATGGATCTAAATTGCAAAAAGAAAATCCTTTTCTTTAMATATATTCACAGGTGATTAGTAAATAGATTTTTTATCATAAAAACACCGTAGTGATGTTATGCACTGAGATAATTCAATGGRTTTCAATGTTTATCATTGAAAGCAGGTATACAGGAGCCCTTATAGCATCAATCAACTGAAATTCAAATTGATCTACAAAAGCTGTGAACAAACAGTATATATTTRTCATGCTTATGAATCATTTCCTTTACTTCTATTTAATTTCTAGTCAAAGTTTGACAAGGCTTAAGTTAATGGTTGTCTGTGTTGACTTGAGAAGTGGTCATAGCTATTGTTTGCATTGCATAATATTGAAGTCAACTCTTGAACTTATTAATTGGAAAGCTCAAACAAATAATATATTTTTCACATCAAAAATCAATATCTCGTAATAATAATGACATCTTTATGATAATATTAATTATAAGTCAATGGGTTAGTATTAGAAAAAGAAACTTGAAAAGGGTATGTAGAAAACACTTGGTCTAGGTTTGTTGTTTTTTGCTGCTAGCAGCAATACCTAGGGCAACAAAAACCTATTTATTAGCCTCATTAATAAAATTGTGGCAAGAATATGACAGAGGACTGTATGGACCATGGATCCTATTGTACTAAAGAATCAACTACAGCAAAGAATGAAGTAAAAAGTCATCTAATAAAGAAGAAAAAATATGTACCACAACAATATGAATGTGTTTGTTTGTTAGTTAGTTAGAATGACAGCAAGAAAAGACACTAAATTGGCGATTAATATATAATCAATATCACATCAATCAACAAAGGTGCCAGCAGTAATTGTTAGCCATGCTTTTCTTTTATAGTGAGCTTAATTCCCTAGTGTGCCACTGATATCCAACCATGCTAACAGTTTTCTATAGTGATTATTTGATTTAACTACGCTAAGCTGACTGTCTGGCACGCCTTGCATAAATGCGTCTCAGTATACTGGTTCGYTGAGTCTTTAGCGCGTTGTCTGGTGGAAAGGGAGACTGTATAAATTAACGTAGTGGAAGCCATTAGCCCAGCCAACCATACCTAGGACACGTTTCACTTAGCGCACGTAAAATTATCGCAAATAAATGAAAGAAACAAACATTCTTGTAAGATAAGAAGAACTTACCGCGTCCGCTTGGGATTGATATTTAAACTGTACAAAAGCAAACCCTCTAAAATAAGAAGAAAATAAAAAACTTTGATGAGAGCAGACAAAGGCCCAAGTAATTTGCATTTCATTTGCGCTAATGGATTTCAACATCGAGGGCTGTTATTGCAACTTAGACAGTTATTTGCAGCGTTCGCGTTGGATAAAAAGGTCGCTTAGAGATGACACTTCTCGTTAAAGGCAAACGTCACGAAAGAGCAAAACATTACAAAACTTAGCCAAAATGGCTTCTTCTCGAGAGCTTCTATTATTGGCTAGCCTTTACTTGTATTTTCGGCTTCACGAAATAGAAAGTTCCGGGTTGCTTGCTTGTAGTGCCCTCCCTTTTGGCTTCGGTTCGCATGTGGCTATGACCATAAATAGTTTTCAAAATATACGATCGCTAAATCGGCCGCAATAGATCTTTGCTCTGTCAGGGGTATATTTATACAGAAATTAAAAAAGCTAGGATTCTAGTGTATAATAGAGTTCTTTCGATTGATCAAGTAAACAAAAAGAATAAAAATATTGACTGTAGTCGACGGCCTAACATGTTAGGAGTCACAAGAATGTCATTGAATTAAGAATATACAGGAACATTGTGGCAATCGCAAAAATATCCACATCAAACACAAAAATTATATAATCTTAACAACGACTGTCTAAATTAAATATGTAAACGATTGAAGTAGCACGTGGCTCGAAACAAGAGGAGTAAAAAGTAGTGCAAATAAGACACTACAGTTAGTTGATGTTCATTCAAATTTTGCCACCTAACGTGTTAACATATTCACAATAGTATTCCTTAATCCTTACCTCGGTCTGCCCGTTACCGCGTCAAATTTGATATCTACACCAACTACATCGCCGAATTGTGAAAAATATTTCTTTAGCCCCTCTAAAAATTAGAAAGAGAAAATCTAGAATTACCGATAAGACACTAGCATAGTCTGGCTTATAGATTGCTCTAGGTATCACAAATACAAGAAATGTGTGAAAGAGTTACAAGGCATTGTAATTAATTTTACCTTTTGATGTGTCATAGCTTAAACCACCCACAAAAAGCTTCCTGAAAAGAAGGAAAGGAAAAGTTAACCCACGTCGACTCGACACATCAATGGACGTGTACTTAGAAGAACTTTAAAAATATATTAGAAATTGATATTCCACCTAAATAAAGGAAATCTTGCTTGTTAACGCTGGCCATTTGAACACAAAAAGGCTCAAGTGAGAAACCCAAATAGATGAATAAATAGGAATATTTTAAGATAATAATTGCCAAAGAGAGATATTGAGCCTCTTTTCAGGAAGACTCACGCTTTTTACTCTCGATCTTACCCTATATCATCGTCCTTAGTCATTCTAGTCTTGTTAGATAGCGATGAGTCAATGAGTCCGTTTACAACATCACTTTCAGACATAGTAGTGATTCTTTCCACTCTGCAGGCTTGAAATTAGTTGGAAATCATGTCCAAAGCCTCTTCGTTAGCTGTGTAGAACCACACAACCGGCCGACAGCAAGACAAGAATGCTGAACATTCCAGCCACTCAAACCAAAGCATTGTGGGAAAACCCTTCTACAGTCATGTGATATCTACACTCTTTTCTTATTGGTCCATTTTACTAAATACTCCACCTGCAAAGAATCCTGGTTGCATTTGATTGGTTGATGAAGCCAGACACGCAAAGGTACTTCACGAAGCCAATATTCTATGGTAATATAGGGACATTTGCTTTCTATTTTTACGGCTAATTTGGCAGGCTGACATAAGGTGCTTGAGGCACGCGATAAATTGGCATATGAATGTAACCTCTCATGGATATGTTATATTGTTACACCAATTTTTTTATTTTTCAAATATAATATTTTTGAGTTGCTTGSCTTATCAATAGCACTTATGCATGATGCCTGTTTTACGGTCTCTAGCCACGGACTTAAATAGTCCACCAATCACAAACCGCCAACGAGTTCTTACGAATATTCAAAACGGAAAAATGCAGTAGAGCCTAACTAAAACCGCTAAGGAGAGCCCCCGCAATGCGAAACCGAAAGTTTGTTCTAAATAACTAGAAATGACAATAAAAGAGTAGCAAGAAATTCAGAAAAACAAAGGTAGAGGCGTGGTCAAAACAGCGACGATAACAGCGATTCATAAACAGCTCATTTGTCACAGATTATCGCGTGAAGAGACAGCTTGCTGACGAAGTCATCCTATTCCCATTAGTTTACTAATGAAAATTAATATCTTTTTTTCTCACCTTTTCTTTTTTTATATAATTATCATGAGAACTCGATGGGGATGCATAATTTGTTGGGGTATATGAGATATCGTGGTTTTTGATCGCAATCGCGGGCTTTTTTTGCCAAAGTGAGTATCACATGTTGTTTACAAATAGAAGGCTCATGAATAATGGATCGACGATTTAGGTATTCATATCTTACTATTTAGTTTGTCATATCTTGAACTGGATATCGATATATTAAGGATAAAAATTAAAGGTTAATTTTAGAGGGTTATGTCTAAGCTTTCGTCTTGAGTAACGTTCAGTCATTTCGACGCATCACTGAGTTATCAGTCAGGACTCAAGAAAAAAAGCAGCCCAGCCTAACTAGAGTAAAATGGCCAATTCCGTCAGCGATGACAAGCTGAAGCTCTCGAGTCAATAGCAGAAAGTTAACAAAAGTTGGCAAAGGAAGTCTTTTCTGGACGCACGGCATGCACGCAAGGACGATACGACGAATAATCGCAGCTTGTCTCGTCAAACTAATCTCTTCAGTCTCAAGCAGGTGTAGATGTGTATCTCGTCTTGCTTGTAGAGAATGTACAGTAGAAATATGGAAGCATGAATATAACCTTTAGGCTTATTATCCCACTACTTCGCAATTCAGTTTCAGTGGTTGAGATTCAAGAAGATAAGACTACCGAGTTGTTGTTACTGAGAAGCACGCCAAGATGGCGGACAAAAAACGAACGCCATACTCGAAACTTATCGTTCGAACAGAAYACTCATTGAATATGAGTCTCTTTATATAATTGAACACTTCATACGATTCTATTTTAGTACTAGTTTTGAGGCAGGGAAATWTATTTTAAAGATGGTATCAACTATGAAGGCCATGACACCCACGCTGGATCGACTCAATGCATTAGTAGACGAAACCATCGATCACTAAAACATTCTTCAAACATATCGAGAACCGTAAAGCCTAGTTTATCTTAATTTTCAATGAGTATGTTTTTCGACTCATTTGATGATGCCGTTCAAGAACCAAGGCACCATCTCTCCAGGTAGCCATAGCCAAGTTCTCTTCTTTTTGTCTATACTTCCTGCCGAGAAAGGTCTACTTTGATCTTCTATTTATGGAGTTTTTAAACTGTCCTTTGTCTCTGTGGAAATAAGTTTTCTTGTGAAAGTTTGATAACTAGAGACTAGGTATTTGTTTTTTCGGTACTCTTTCTGTCATTGTAGATTTGAGTCGCTTTTAATGAGTGAAAATCTTAGTAATCATTTGATTTAAACATCGTTTGGTATATCTTTCACCTGCGCTCCACTTTCTTTTGAATAGTTTCMAGAAACAGCTAGTTTTATGAAAAAATAATTGAAGCCAAAAAATCAAGAAAACAAACCTGTCTGACATTAAGCCCACACATTTGCAAATCCCATCATGTAAATGAGGCATTGTCGACTTCATTTCGTTTATTGGTTATTTTCTCAAAAGCAAAGCACAATGTTTGAATAAAAGTGTCATTTTTTGCAAAGGTCTCGTCGATAACAACTGTGGCCACGTATACAAAGTGCGCACAAATAGCTATAAGTCATGATTATATAAAGAATATATCTTTGTACGGCGGATAGAAAAGGGGCGCCGAAATGAAAGGGAGTGACTGCTTTGTTTGATACTGAAAATTGTACATAGACATCTGGATAATTCAGCATCTGTATTGCATTCATTGCACCAAGCGCCGGTTTTGTAAAAACAAAGGGGAAAACTGAAATGGACTGAAACGATCACGATACCCGGCAGCCAGTTTGTGATGTCGATAATGAGATCATATGAGATTAGTTCGGTAAACGATAACAATGCTGGGAAATTAAATGCAGCGACAATCGTAGTTTTAGGATAAAAGTGACAATTCAAAGGCAAGTGTTCATCGTGAAATTCTTCTCATATCACAACACGGCATAGACAGCTCTCAGCGCGGACTCAGGAAAGAGTCTAAGTATATTTATCAAGGTCTTTTAGCRACATCCGATGTTGTTTCATATAGTTTAAGACAGCTTCAGCTGATTTTCTTACGCGACAGATTAAAGTCTCAAAGAATCGAACGAGTCWTGACTGATTGCCATGGTTACTAGGACTGTCCTTTTGAGTATGRGTACTTGTAATGTTCAAAATACTAACTTAATGGAATATAAACAGATATTCGAATTTTTAAGATTTGTGCTCGCACAGCATTATATGAAACCGAGTTACTGCAATCTTGAAGCAAGTATTGCAGCAAAATAACAGCACAACCAGCTGTTTACAATAGTATAGCAGCTTCAAGCAGAATGACTCGCTAACGACCATCTATACACAAACAAATATTACATAGTAACTAACTATCTATAGCGTACCCTCATCGTGGATTGAAGCTGAATTTGTTACTAGAGCCGCATTTATCGAGACAGCGGCGGATATCACGTCTAAAATTTCACTTTATTTATATATGCATCAGTTTAGCCACAAAAGTGTATGATATTATGGCTATGAAATATCCACATTATAAACATATTCACTACATTTTATCTTAACTATGGTTTGTACTAACGGATGCAAGGGTTTTGATGTTTGATTTTACCATGCGACAAACCAGACAAAAAGTCTTTAAAAAAATTTAAAGTGCATTAAAACACATCACTTGGATGAACGGATTCTCAATACATTTCTAGTTTTATTGAGTTTTAATACAACAAGCTTTAACAATGACAACAATAAAGGGTTTGTAAATGTGCACAGCGGCTTCATGGCTGTATTTTGTAAACAACGATGCTTATATTGCTCAACAAACAGAACACACTCCCTCTATCAAACTCTCAAATCTGATATATTGCAGCTGTCGGGGACTGGAAATGGTTTGAATCCACGAGTTAAGTTGGTTAGACGGGCGATAGAAATGATTASTGTTATATCGACGGATTGGTTATATAAACAGTTGACCCTATTGACATGATTCAGTGCTATTAGACGGAAAACACGAGGTTAAGTGAAAAGGTTGATTTCTCACGCTGTCACGTGATTAMAGAATACAAGTTTTTATACAAKAGACTGAGTCACGTGACTGAGCACAAATTCCTGATGCGTCACCTTTTATCATGATTAGGTTTCGCTTCCCCTGGTTAAGATTCTCTACCCTTGAGCAATGAACAGATGTTCGGCTCCGCACTTTTAAGATATCTAATACACGGTCAAGCTGACCCTCAAGAGTCTGTAATTACACGGGCTTGGAGGGTGTATGATGTTTTATCTTACAACCACAAGAAACCAAACTGGCGGCTCACAAACTTTGTGAAAGTAAAGCTCTATATGGCGGTGAACTGAAAATATATATTTTGTGCCGGCTTGGACTAACGGTGCGATTATTGGCATATATCATTACGAGAGAAATAATAGAGAAAAGATGTGAGTGAAAAATTAAACGAAAAGTCTTTCAAATAATTWAAAAAAAGCAAAAGCGAAAAATAAATAACTTAAGTACTTATGATAACCAGTCAATTAACAATTGCAGCATSCATGTATAACAAAACACATGTAACCAACATCAACTGAAGCTATATCAACGTAGGATGTCCGCTATATGAGTAAAGTGAACTCAAATGTCCATTACCAGTAAACCAAGATTTGTATGTATAGCTTCACYAGTATTGACCTAGACGGAGTTATAGTGCAAGAAAGTTCTTAGTTCCAATGACGCCTAGAAACTTTTCACTTGTAATGCAAAATATACTGCTTGCATGGTAGACATTATTGGAGATCTTGAAAGGGTTCAAGGGTTTGACATTACAAGAGAGAGGGGAATATTGCGGAAATCAGCAYGCGAAATCTACAACATATAATAACTAGTAATTGAGCTGAGGGAGTCTCATGTGTTTTGCCTGATTCAATATTAGTTTTATGTATAAAATGCCAGTAAATGGCCGAGATCCAGATTGATTTTACAGAAAAGACTTGATGGGAACATTTGAATGCGACTGAAAGAGTTTAAGCCATCGATTTCAATATTCATGGGCTGTGGATGATGGAAAGCCCTCAGACGCGAAGTGACAGTAACTTCCTTACTTCCGAAACTAGTCTTTAAGGAGCATCAAACAAAATTAAACACACGTATATCATTACGTGTTATTGTGAGAAGTCGTTGGCTTTGTCATTATGTTTTATTACTTTGTTAGAGCTGCGTGGAAAACATATATGATTGTATGGATTCTTATGCAGAGTTTCCTTCTAAAACTAATTGCTTACTTTCACATATGSCATCAATATCATATGTAAATATATTAGCAATTATACTATATCATTTTAACAAATAATGGTGACATGTGGTGATGAGATCAAAGTTCTAAAAGTGCGCCAGAGCTGGAATCTGAATTGAATGTATATGTTATTATAGCTCTCACATCATACTTTATTATTGTTACTATTATTATCATTATTGACATAAAAACACCAAGAATTAACGGTCGAATATATCTATCTATATATAGACCAAATAGATCAGTCGAGATGATTGGCTGTGTGTGGGTGTGGCTACAACGCGGTYATGCTTGTGACGCATTTTATCGGGAGTGCTTTTCATAAAACCGTGAAATAAAGTACACTAATTAAAGTTCCATCAAATGATTTAAAACTATATTTCGCAAATGCATAAAAGGACCAAAAAGTGCCGATATATCTACACAACCCTCGCTTTTACTTCTAATTAAATCAATTTAATACTAATATTCGGTCCGTCATTCGTCAAGTACTCGCGTGTCTTATAATGGAAGTTAGAATCCTATTGTGTTTCCCATCCTTGAAAGTGAACTTTTCTTCCGAAAGCGAAACAAAATTCAGTTTGAACAAAAGAGTGAAAGTAGGCTGCGGTCGAGGTATTATTACATGCTTATTAATGGCTTTATCAATAGTATAATTACTTGTCTCGTCAAGTCCGAAGTAATTACTATTGTATTTACTACTTTACCGTTCAGCTGAGAACTAATACAACAATCTACTGATTTCAGTAGCWTGAGCATGAACTCACTCCTCGTAACGGCCGCCTGCACTCATACACCGGCATAGCACGACTCTAYTGATCTCTGTTATTGTTTAAAGAGAGGAAAATGGTGTTTGATAACTTCCATTTTAATGAGAAATAAAGCACACACACAAGCAACATTGTTTATGCCATCGGCCAAAAAAGTATGAATATAACAGGAAAACGCCAATAAAAACTGAACATCAAAACTTGTTTGTACACCTGTATTCTGTAAGTTAAGCTGGAGTCACGAGATCGTCTAACGCATCACCACACATACAACAACACCAAAAAAAACACCAAAAAAACGACTGCTTGTAAACAAGAAGAACGTCATTTTTGTCAAAGAGTGATTCTAAATAGTYTTTTTTTATCAACAAAGCATTTTAAAAGATGGTTATATGAGGCTCGATCTGGACCTGCAAACTGACACGTTTCACTTTAAAAAAAACCCAGACACTAATAAATAACCTGATGTATTTCCCCTAGGGCAATATTTGCATCTCGTAATATTACTATCCACTTGGAAGTCTAATTATATTCAAGCCTTTAGGACATTTTATGACTGTCTGTTATTTATAACAATGTTTATAGACGCATCAGCGGATTTTAGTTAGTTATTGCATATTCGAAYTTTCACTCGAACGAAGATGACTTTTGGTCTTCCTGTGTTATGTCAGCAGTTTTGCTTCAAAATTATGACGTCATGTTTATTTTCGTGTCGTCCTTATTGCACCACAAACGTTGTCGTGTTTGTAACTTTTTAGTCGTTTGTTTTTAGTCTTATTCTTCAGTTTGCACCTAGTATTTCGCTAAAACAGTCCTCCAGTTTACACTGTAGGCTGTATTTGAGATTCAAATACTCGATAACTCTTGCCTTTAACAAGAAATTATATATATTTTGTACAATTGTAAATTTCAAAATTTCTATTTTAACTTATTTCAAAAACAAATTATTAAGCTTATAATTATGGATCAAGGAGAAACAGTTGTCATACCTAAAGCTACCAGTAACCCATGGGGTAAAACTCCAGACGTGGCTCCATGTTCTCTCATGTCAGTAATGGACGAACAGTTAGCCAAAGACCTACAAGACAAGGAAGACGACGCCTTTAAGCTTAACAGTTTACACGTAGATCTCCCTGGCATTGGTAAGTTACGATGTACAGTATAATATATCTTATWAAGAAAGAAATGATCCAATCTTTACTGCTTTTTGATCAATGTGTACTTGATAAAATAAGCTTATCTTTCATGTGTAGATAGCAACAACCCTGATGTGGACAGTGATTTACTTCTGGCCCAAATGCTTCAGAGTCAGTTTGACAAAGAAAATGATCACATGGTGAACATCTATGAGCAGAAGTATAATGGGAATAGCAAAGGTAATAAAGACTCTCATAATTCACTAGTTTATCATTAGAATTTATGTTGGGTGTTTCATCAACAGTTTCCTTGTCTTTCGACAACTACAAGAGCATTCATTCCATCATCAAAGATGACTCCAGCTGTGATGAACTTGATGAACATGATGATTTAGGTACTTAAGTAACTTACCATGCCATGAGATTTAGGAAAAAGTTGATAGTGACAGTAATGATCATTGTGCAATAGACACTCTACCTCCACCAGACCATGGTATGGACACCAAGGCGTCCAAAACAAAAACTACAAAGAAGAAGATTACAACTAAACATGATGCTTTACTTTGTGGAAGAAAAAATGCTAGAAGTCTTGAAAAGGTAAATAGTTGTGCTTCGTCATGAAGAGCAATATTTGTTACATGTACTTGATATGAAAGGTGCATGCTAGACAGCTAAACAAGACAGTCACCAGAGAATGGCCACATATTACAATCACAATTAACATTGACAGTAAATTAGTTGCTGTCCTCATTCTTATTCAGTATTCTACCAGGAATTTTTGTGGCYAGGTTTCATGTTGAGTATTTTTGCAGTTTCCTCCAGGTTTTGCAGCAGGTGATGTTGGTAGTAAGAAGCTTGACCTGAAGCTATCCAACAGTGTATACAACACATTGAAGCAACATTCTTACAGAGAGGAAAGACAAAGTCACAGACTACATGAAAAGAAAGAGCATTCAACTCATGAACAGGCTTTAGATCCCAAGACAAGGCTTCTTCTCTACAAGATGGTGAACAATGAAACCCTTGATAATGTCAATGGCTGCATCAGCACTGGAAAAGAAGCTTGTGTTTTTCATGCAAATGGAGGAAGGTAAGATCATGGTAGTTGACAGTAATCAAGTCTATAATAAAATTTGAATCTGTAAATTTTGTTTGTTTGCTAACCATAGGAAAGAGAGTGGAGAAGAACTGCCTACTGAATGTGCTATCAAAGTGTTCAAAACTACATTGAATGAATTCAGAACAAGAGAAAGGTACATCAAGGATGATCACCGCTTCAGGGACAGATTCAGCAAGCAAAATCCTAGGAAGGTCATCCGTCTTTGGGCTGAGAAAGAAATGTGCAACCTAAGCAGGTTAGTTATTGAGGTCCTGTGAAAGATTGTCTCTAATAATACTTATATCCTGGATACCATTTGTTAGAATGCAGAAAGCTGGAATCTCATGTCCAAGTGTTGTTTTATTGAAGAAGCACATTCTTGTCATGAGCTTTGTTGGAAGGGACATGAAAGCTGCTCCTAAACTTAAAGATGCTGTGCTCTCATCCAATCAGATGAAATTAGCCTATGAACAGACTGTAGAGGTATGATAATTGTRGTTTTATTTATTTGATCTACAGWGCATAAAYGCAACACAAGAAATAAAAACAAGTTAAATATTCCAGMATTTAAAAGTGCATCTGGCCAGCGGACTTTTGCCTACAGGGCAGTAACACTATGGGATAATCTTCCATATGATGTTATATCTAGTACTGGCCTAAAGAACTTCAAAAACCGGCTTTATGAATATCTTTCTAAAAAAACAGACTTTTCTTAATACTTGCAAGTATATATGGCAATTATTGTATTTTAATATTGAATCTTACTAAATATTTATTCGATGTAAATAGAGGCTGAAAAGCCATTCATGGAGTCCTTTATTAAAGTTATTATTATTATTATTATTATTATGGTAATCAATGTACCTAGCTAATAATGTTATGTGCTACAGATGATGTGCACCATGTACCAAAGATGTAAACTTGTTCATGCTGACTTGAGCGAGTACAACATCCTCTGGCATGATAACCGTGCATGGTTCATTGATGTCAGTCAGGCTGTGGAACCAATCCATCCCCATGCTTTGGAGTTTCTTTATCGTGACTGTACTAATGTGACAGAGTTCTTCAAGAAGAGAGGGGTACCTGATGTCATGTCTGCTTCACAACTGTTCCTGAAAGTATCAGAACTGGACATTCCTTTGTGTGATGATGAGAATCACTTTCTGAGCAAGGTTTGTTGCAATTAAATCAATATGGCAATTTTATCACCCTTGAAAGAGTGTTTATCTGCTGAATCTACCCTTCATACAGAGAGTGCTCAATATGCATGTCAACTCTACACTAAGTAGTTCATGTTTAGAGTACAAACATTAAATGTGTGCAACACTTTCCAATATTTACTACAAAATAGTGTTAATTTAACAATAGAAAACAATAGAATTAGCATAATTTAGCAGTATTTAGTGGTATTTATGTTCSACTGTTTTAGTGTTTGTACTCTAATGATTCACACTAAATAGCAACTGTTTTTTTCTTTTCTCTACTATGTGAAAGTAATTTGAATCATATTTTTACACAACATTATTKAGCAGTTGTGATGTTGTTGTAATATTTCAGGTCCATGGCTATGAAAGGTATGAGATGACAGTGGGTGGGCGCAAGAACTGCCAGCCATATGAATTTGATTATTTTTTCAACAAGACAACAAATGGAGGATCATCAAGTGATGATAGTACTGATGAATAATGATTTGTATGTAAAAAAAGCATGTTGAGGGACCAATWAAAGGACTAAAAAGATCAAWATTTGTATTCATTTCTTAAAAGATTTTTAGCCTTTCGGTTAAAGAATCATAACCAMCCGTCGTACCTTGCGCGCTCGTATTATTGTTTACATACGTTTAAATGCGTCAAGCATACAATAAATTATAGATTGATAGTACCTGTGAGGTACTTAGTTAAAGGTATTTCTGTCCAAACTGAAAGGACGGAAGACGATTTGCGCTCACTTTAAGAAATCCTACAAATCCGCCATTTTCGTGTCCACTTAAAATGGCGCTTCGGTTCGCAAGGTACGGCGGGTGGTTATGATTCTTTAATGTTTTCAGTGATAGAATGAGTGCATTTAAACCTGTGAAGTTGTAATAACATCTTTGGATACTAGAGCGGATTTCGTATGACTGTGCAAAAAACAYGGTACTTTCGCACTGTGACCGTACCGTTCCGTAGCGGTGATGATTGTTAAATCTTATATTTATTTGTAATCATAGAAAGCGAGGTTCCGTGACTGTGTTGTGATCCGAGTCATTGCACAGTCATACGAAAACCTCTCTATTTTCCACAATTTAGTAAACGGTTTTCATAAAGAGCARTGGTCATTCAAGGAATAGTCTTCAGATGCAGATTTARGGGAAATGTGTGCTGTTTTGATTGTGTACCAAAARAAATTGAATCTCAGATTACATGCATTCACTATTTAAAGCAGTTTTTGCAGTATTTACCAAGCTTGCATGTGGTAGACATCGAGTAGCTAAACAAGGACAACTACATCAATTTCTGGAAAAATACACTTTATTGTCTCACAAAAATATGATTTGACAAAATCTATTGGGTTTCGAAGCTGACACATGCATTCAGCAATTTATCCTAAACAATTGATTTATTATAATGCATTAGTCCAGTTTTGGCATTCCACCAACAATACCAGATTCAATACCACATTCATCATGACCCCTTAGAATCTTGAAGTATCCTGAAGACACAATAGTTGGATAAGTTTGTTTTCAAATGTCACATTTGCATGTGTTTTGGACAAACTGACAAACAGGGTCAGCAGCACATAAAAGAGAGTATGCAWATTACACCATCATTACCTTTGTCACCCCAGTCASTATTCCAAGAGTTAGCAACCAACCAATAATCCATATCATTTTCATTACCCCAACCAAGAATCCTGATAGCATGGCCACCTAGTGCTCCGCCGGAAACATGTTTGTAAACACCTGGAAATACAGCACRTTAATTTCATAAAAATCCAATATCCTAACAGCATAGAACTGATGGCTTACCACTCTTGTAAGATGGGAAATCAGCATAAACTGTGAAAGCACCCTCAACTGGGCCATTAGTCATGATTTCCTTCTGGATTTCACTGACCTCACTTTGGACACTGTATGCCGACCGTCCAAAGTGCTTGTCATCAGAATAAGAGACATTGTAACCTGTGAGAATAAGCAATTTATTGTGTAGTACTAGACTTTGACAATGAATAATACAATACCACTGTAATACAACTACATCCATTAATTCAAAAATCAGAAATGAGACATGGTTTCAATGACAATTCATGTTTTGTAACTTCTGATTCCTAACTATATAAGATACCTGCTTCACATTTATGGCGACATTGGGGAGTGGGCTGGATTCCAGTGCATGGTTGAAGATGGCCTTTCACATGGTGGTCGCATGCCTTGATTTGGTAAGGTTGGCATCCTTGATGTGTGTTCCATTGTCCACCAGTTACAAGACCAGTGTTCTTCCAGTAATCCCTGACAAGAGAACAATAGKCCAGTCATCTTCTGATTYCCATTACCTCTAGACAAATGMTACATCACTAACTTGGAATTTCAACATAATTTTTAGCCTGATTTACAAGATGTGACTTGCACTGAGAGACTAAACACATGAGACAGAATTGTACCATGCAACTGGCTCTATGAATAGATGGGAGTGGCCTATGACTTGTCTTAATGTCGTAGGGATAATGTACACAGTAAGTCACACACGACAAATTGCATTGTGTAAATCAGCCTTTAAAGTATCATTACCAAGCAGACTCTGGAAATCCACCATTACATCTGAAAGTGAATAATTTTAAAAACTTAATAAGATAAACAAATTTATAGAGTGCTTACACTGTGTCCATGAAATAAAATCTAAATAGCTACTATCTATCTAATAATTAGATAGTGATCTAGTGACTATAATTAGTTGCTATCACTCAACTGGAACAGTTATAATCAGGTATTGTTTCCTTTGTATTCGATTTCCCAAGTTTACAGAATGTATTGTTACTAAGACTGTTCCAGTTGAATGATAGTCACTAATAGTTACTAAATAAAAACTATTTGTTAGTAACTATTTAGATTATATTTCATGGCCATAGTGTAAGCACTCTATCAATCACTCTACACTACTATTATCAATGAAATTCATACCCCATTCCACAAGAATCACAACAGCTTAAAAGGTCTTCTGCTGAAATGTGCGGTTTGACTTTGGCATTTGAGTGAATGCAAGTACGGTCTGTCATGGCTTCAACTGCTCCAAAGGCCTGTGTAATAAAAATATCATATATGGTCCATGACTGCTTTGTTACACACCTACCAATCCCAACAGAAYAAACTTACCCAGCAACTACCACAGGAWCCTTGGTCCCTGATTTCATTTATGCTTGGGCAATCTGGCCATTGCTTACGAGCATCAAAGCTATCTGGGATTTCCATGGCACCAAGAGATTCACGCTCTGATTTGCACAACAGCAGTAAAAATAAAGATTGGATTACAAGATACAGGGATGACAATGCATTTTGGAGTGACTGAGGCAGGCAGGGAGGACTCCCTTGAAACATGTGATGAACTCTTGAGGTACATTTGCAATATATTTAAATATATTTGAATGATGGTAAAGCTTTATTTGTTTGTGGTCTAAAACTTAAGTCACTATTTTCTCTAAGTAAACACATCGCGTTACTTGCTTCACCTTTGGGTCAATCACACGGTTTATGCAAATGGCTTATCATGTGACAATAGCCTTATAATCATGCGCCTTTTCTGTATAAAATGCTAGCAGTAAGATTTTCCACTTAAATTATGAAATTGAAACATCCTTCATTTTCGAYCGCAACTTCACGAAAGAACGATAATGGCAGCCTTGGAAACTGAGATTGCGTMACATTGCAACAAAAGGAGAGCGATCTCCAAATGAAGTCTTTCGGAAAAAGTTAAGACGATCGATCGAGACAGAAAAAGAGTAATTTTTGATATCAACCCATACCAGGAAGCTTTTTATCCGGTGGGGTCGGCAGAACCCCACACATAGCTCTGATGTCTTCAATTTTCCAGCCTTCGCCAAAGTTTTTCCCTGCCTTCCATGTTGGTTTCAATTCATAGTTGATGTAATCAATTGACTCTTGTGATAGTGGATCTAATGATGGCACTATCTTAGCGCTGGCAATAGCCACCAATGAGAGAACAAGGTACAGCATCATCATAAACTATCCTTTAGGAACAGAGAAACGATACTAGTAATAACACCGTTGACAATGCACGAGATAGTCATGTGACGCCACAGGAAAACCGTATACATGAGATGAAATCAATCTCTCCCATAACTGTCAGTATGTAACAATTATCACGCGGCGTCCAAAAAAGTGGTTTACACACAATAAGAGTGGCTTTAAATTATCTTTCTTTTTAATAACAGGCAATGCGATTTCAATTATTATAAACTACATGATATAAATAATACAAAACTCGATACCATTCAAAAAGCATTTTTTTTCTATCCTATAAATTAAAATTGATTGGAACTATTGCACAACATAGGATTTATCCTACTTAATATTATACAATTAGAGTGGTTTTCATTAACCCGTGAAACACACTTTAGCGTATTTATCGCTATTACACTTTGGCTCTTTTGTTTTTTATTGTCTCTACGCGACTATTACGATCTATTACACTTTGCTTCACGGGTTTATGAAAACCACTCTAAAAACAATATTTTTTAAAGACTAGCTAAATTATTCCATTCCAGAGGCTGAAACACAATAATGAACTAAATTCAAGAATACAGCTGATAACCGGCAAGTTTTAACACTGCCGGCTTGTAAATTGTTTGTCTTTAGGGAATATTTCTTGTCTGCCTCGTACAGCTTTACCAAGCCTTTCTTCATCACTGTCCCTTTCTTCCTTGTTTGGAAAGTTCCAGGGTTGTTCTTTTGCACTTCCAAATATCAACAATACTAGCACTCCAAACAGGTTTATTCCACAAGTGATATAAAAAGCCTTTTTCCATTGTTGTCTTGTAGGCTGAAAATACATTTAAATTAAATTAAAATAACTTGCAACATATTGGTTATTACATGTGTGTATAATGTATTTTGTTGTCTAATGTAAACAAAAATATGACACCACCCCACCAATGAAGGGCATTTGCATCATGCGCTGTAACACAGATAGCCGATGGGGAGGCTTGAGCCAGTACTGAAATAGACTGTTCACAATATAATTGATATTATTTCTTCATGAAAAATAAGGAAAGTATTGATGCACACTGTAACTTAACTATCAACTGTAGGTATATCTTACTTTGTGATTTGTCAACTGGCCAACAACCATTGGTGTTAAAACTCCAGGAACATTGGTCCCAAAGTTAATAACTGCCATGACAACACCAGCAAATCTTGGTGACAAGTCCAGGGCTATGGTACTGCCTGTAGTAGTGTATATTCCTAATGCACCACAGGACAGGGTAAGAAGAGCAACACAGAGAAATGTTTGACTACACTGTAGATACCCAACAGGTAATAGTAGACTTGCACTTAACAAAATTCCTGAAATAGACCTGTACTGTTAAAACAATTTCAAGGTACCATGAGGGGGTTCAAAAAGGTTACCCTTTATATTTGGAAAATAAAGTATCATATTTTAAAGACTTTCTCGGCCAAGGAAGGGGGTTAAACCCTCTGTGCATCCCCTGCAGTTAGACAACTAACTAATTGCATGCATATTGATTGTCTTAGAGGGAGGACCTGCTAGGAATTATCTGCACTCTGTCCCTAGCTATTATGTCATATATTGAATCATGCATGCAACTGGGATTCAAATGTCAAAATAATATTTTTTATCTATTGATATACCTGTGATTCCAAAARCCTTTCTSACAAAAGTTGTAGAAAATCCAAACGTCTTTTGCAGCCAATCAGAAAATAATGCAATGGAATTCTTTGATATGCATGAAGCTATGAAGGGTAGTGCTGTYAAYACACCATTCTGCAATGWTATGACAAACATKTTTGAATACACAATGATAAATAATATGGAAAATTGACATTTATTGACCTGTTTGATGTTGAAGTCCAACACCTCCTTGAAAAATGAAGGCAAGCATGTCAAGAAGACATACCAGCTCCACCCATAAGAGAAAGATGCAATAAACATTGCCCATACTGGTATAGATGAAAATATAGATTGCCATGGAGTTGGATATTTCTATGATGAGATACAAATAGAAATAAACAGATACCCAAAAATCTTTAAATTATCATTTTAGAACATTGAAATAAATGGTATGTAGAACATGTAGCACTAAGGAAATACATAAAACAACCTTAGTTTGGATTTGCACGACCTCTATGTCATGAAATGGAACGCCTTCAACCCTACAATACAGCCCTTGACAGTATTTCATCTTCTATTTTGTAACATACCTTATTGATTTTATCTTGAGAGTTTCCTATTCCTGTGATAATGTGCTGTTTTTCCCATGGAGAGATTCTTGGATGTACTGCTGGACTTTCATGAACAACAGCCATCCAAACTATGAACCATATTAACCCTAGAGCACCTGTAGRAACATATAAAATATAGCGTAAATGCTAAAATGGCTTAAAATRCCAAGTAGGATAGATGTCACTACATCTTGGTTCACTTATGCTTTAGGCATGAAGTTTTTCATGACATTATTCCTCCTTTCTTTCACAATTATTATCATGTTCCTTTTACTATTTCCAGAAGGCATTGAATTGTAATCATGATACTGGAACTTACCAAATACATAAAATGCCAATGGCCAGCCATCATCAATAAAAGTTAAAGAACTAAGCCATCCACTTAAAGGTAAGGCAGAAATTGCACCAAAATCRCCACCTACAAAAGATATCAGAAAAATTAGCACAYACTTCAAGGACATGCAGTGAAAAKACTTAATTTTTTACCTGWAAAACAAAGGACAATGTAGGTGCTTCTTTCTAGTGGACTGGCCCACCTGCTCCACATAGTTGTTGCTGCAGGATATGTTACACCCTTAAAAAAGATGCTAATAAGTGATTTATTGATATTAATCAATAGACTAAATGTGATTAAGTAATTAATGTACATATATAAGAATCTAGACCACAAATGTAGACTGAGCACTACCCTCCTTTCCACCGATAAACATTACCATAATTATCTATTACCTCACTTAATCCTGCAAGAACCCTCACAGCAATCAAAAAAGCAGCATTTGTTCTAGCTGCTATTGGTGTCARGCCAGTGAAACAAGCAGTAAAGAATATCCCATATGCCAAAACCTTTTTTCCTCCAAACTTGGTTGAGAGCCAACCTCCTGGTACTTGTGTTGCAATGTATCCATAAAAAAATGCACTGAGGATATAACCTGATGAACAAACACTCACAAAGTTTATATTATTCATTTCACAAGAAATTATTCAGATAAAATTAATGAGTATAAAAAAATGTGTTCCTGATTCCAGAGGTAGGAATTAAGTGGCTCTGTAGTAAACCATTATATGTATTCCTTAATTCCAGGGACAGGAAGTGGCTTGACAGCCACCCAAATCTGGCTCCTGTATTTTACAAAAAGCCAGATGATGTAAAATGATATTGTTATGTTTGCACTGTAACTATACACTAGCTCATAAAACAGCAGTTAGTCTTTGTTGCAAACCAAAACCCCTTTTATATTAAAAGATTTAATCCAAATCCATGAAACCAAATACCTTGAACAACTGGATCCCACTTAAATGGACCATCCTAATAAATTAAATTTAAAAGTAAATGGGTGAACAAGAATCACAAAAACGCTATCATCACTTCCTAAATAAAATTTTGCTAATAAAATTTACATGACTCGAAGATAAAATCCGTATCAACACTTCAACACTCGAAGATAAAATCCGTATCTCCGCGCGCCCATGTAAGATTGATATCCTCTATGTATTATGACATTATTATTGAACTAGATAAGCCCACAACAGGTTGTATACATACTTCATTGTGATCGTCTTGGGTCGTATTTCGATGTTTTACTCTACATTCTGGCTCAATGAKTCGATGTCCTGAAGTTTGCTCGGCATATGTCTGGTTAACCATTGCTACTAAAGCTACACTAAGGTTTGCTCTCATCCCATAAACAGTAACAAAGCCCAAAAACTGCAAAAGCACCAGTACATTTCGACAGCAAAATATCCTCGATACTAGACCGATGGGGTCTTTCGTATAGTTTGTTGATGTTGAAGTCGATCTAGAAGGATCGGCAACTCCAGATAAAAGTTTACATGTCTCATCATCTACACCATCGTTGTCCATGTCGTTTCTTCTCCTTGTATTAGAAATATCTCATGACTTTCTGCTTCTTATTRGATACATCCGGCTTTCAAGGACCAGTTCTGTTTTGAAAACATGTGATACGTGACGTAACTTAAACAGCAAGGCGCGCGACTCTTTCATGCTGTCACAGGAAGCCCAAAGTAAATTCACAATTTGGACTTTCATTCAACACTAAAAATGGCTGTATTCAAGCCTTCATTTTCTTTCAACATTTATGTGATTATTGCGACTCAAGAAATCGAAATGGCTTCCCAARTAAACGCGTGACATTGGAATATCTTCTCAAGGCGGAAACTCGTRACATTGAAATGGCTTCCCAAGTACACGCAACATGGAAATGGCTTCCMACGCACACGATAATAAAAAGTTTCTAATTCAAAAGTTTTTTCACAAATCAAGTGAATAAAATTTTATTTGGGATAAAATATACATTTTTTTAATCCATAAAATATCTAGCATAAATATGAAATGAATAAAATGAGAATGCAAATTCCCCGCACCCAATGCGTTGTCCTATTTCTTCCTTATCATCACGTGAAGTCTTTCATCGATTTGATCGAAAACCATTGGACCGATTGGACTGCCAGCTACCATTGGAGTTGTAGTTACTTGATCTTCTGTTACTGTAGCTACTATTGCTATGGTTACTGTTGTTATAGTTTCGACTACTATTATTATAGTGTCGAAATCCGTTCTGTGAYCGATCATTACCATAATTACGATTACCCCAGGAATTTCCTCCACGACCCCTGTCAGAGAACCCCCCTGAACTCGACTGAGTCGATGCTAGAAGCTCTGGAAGATGTGTCGCTCTTTTCAGAGTGGTACCGCGTCTGTCTGTCCACGACTCCTAAAAAACAAYCGAGACAATAAATTAACAGTAAATTAACCATAGATCGATGAACGGCACGAAAAGATACTACTTACCTTTATTAGATTGTCCAACTTACGCGGTACATCAAAAACAACGCCCTAGGAAACACAGACGTTATTGTTAGGTCACATTGTTTCATAATATTGCTGGTACTCATTATAGTTTGGTGTTTTTGATTACCTTTTTATCGCTAATAAGTCTCATTCCTTTGACTTCAGGTTTCACTTCTGGTGGCAAGTTGTTTTCTACAATCCGCCACATGTATCCCGTCGATCGCACAGGTTCTGCTATGTCGCACTTCATTATATATGTACTATAACCTTCTTGTGACGTGAGGAGGGAGCGAGATTTGATTTCTGTCGTTCCTGAGATTTGCGCCAAGGCAGCTGCTACAGCATCAATTGCACCTTTCTCGTCAATAAGCTTCTCAGCTGCTTCACGGAAGTGATCGAGCACGTCAGATGGGATTTGGTCTAAGAATCTGATATACATCAATCAATCATTATTACCCAATCAATAAAGCAAACAAGCAAGTTAGCATATACCTCCGTGCATCTTCAGCTGATGCTTTGATAATGTCTGAYGGCTGTGGTGCACCAATACGCTTAAACTTAATTCCCTGAAATCAATAACATCATTAATTMAAAATTGATCTTTGTGTCAACTAGTAGAAGGGCTGAGACTTACTGCTTTCCTCTCTACATTTTCTACCATCATCTCTTGTTGAGGTTTATAGAAGACAATGCAGATACCTTCACGATGRGCACGCCCTGTGCGACCTGACCTATGAATGTATGCATCAACATCCTGAAACACAAAATAATTGATAGTTGAAAATACTATCTAACTTTTTACTTCATTAAAAAAAAAGAATTACCTTAGGTGGCTCACACTGTACTACAAGATCAATCTCAGGGATGTCCARTCCTCGAGCAGCAACATCAGTTGCAATCAAACAACGAAACCTTCCTTCACGGAAACTCTGAAAAAAAAGTTTCATGTGTCAGTCTATCTATAACAACTATCATCAAGCACATCATTGCGATTACCTTCAATGTCATTTCTCTTTGCTTCTGTGGGATGTCACCATGCAAAACTTGTGTTTCCTGTCAATCAAAGRCGTTAWCATCAATAAGACAATTTATCTCATAGATGGTTAACAGTTTGCTTTATACTCACCTGCTTAAGTGAGGAGTTGAGTGCAAGCTCATTAACATCTTTCTTAGTTTCAGCAAAGATGACTGTACGACCGTGAGCACCACAGTAAACCTGAACAACAAGAAAGAATTGTTTGTTTATATGCAGCTTGCAAACAACAGATAATGCTTAACTTGTACAGTGGTTCAATAGAATGCAACTGTATATTTACCTGCACAACATCTCCTATTGTAGATGCTCTAGATGAATAATGACATTTAATTGCCATATGCTGAAACARGTATGAAAAAGTTACAGGTAGTAAAATCCAACAAGTTGTCATTTTTGCTTACATTGTACATGTTTATCATGTCTCAMTGGTTASTAAMAATTAACATTTATGAATGATGGTTTACCTGGACTGTTGTAGCCGTTTTAAGTTTATCATGTCCTATCAAATCAACAAGTTTTCTGTCTTGTTTCATGTACTTTTTAGCRGTTGCTACTGCCCATGGTGGAAGGGTGGCTGAAAACAGTAAAGTTTGTGGCTTTTCTTCCCTTTCCTCTGAGAATGATTGGGCCAGAATCTCCTCAACAGAGTCTGAGAATCCCATGTCCAACATTCTGTCAACTTCATCTAAAACTACATGGCTGTAAA